CAAATAAACATGCATTGGACTCTGAAGTAGAGGAGAGGTCATGGGTAAATACTCAGTCCTGCAGCTGTGTAGCTGGGAGAGAAAAAGTGAGTACACAGCTGCAGACCGAGGCCTCCGCTTCTCAAATTGCTCCTGCCTCAGTTTCCTGCCCTCTTTACCGACCAGGCCAAGCCAGGCTCTTATTAGACCCACCCCCACTTTAATAATCCATGATGTCACCTTAACATCACTTTTTTTGTTTTTCTTCTTCTTCTACTATTTTTTCATGCAGCGCAGCCCCCATTGTTTGTTAAATATTAACAGGTGTGGGAGGAGAAGCGAAAACATTTGGTTAAAGGTTGCTCTGTTCCCGTTCGTCCGTCTATCTGTCCATCGACTGCTATCACCACATCTGCTTCAGTTTTGACTTCCCCTGGTTTGTTTGTCCATCTGTATTTGTGTTTCTTCCCCCCCTCCTCTTCCTCTGTCCCCCCTTCCAGTGGAGGGAGGCTGAGGAATGATCAGTCAGGCTTTGATGCCGCTGGCCCCTGCCCTGGCTTTCCACAGCACATGAGCCCAGGCAATTACGAAAGCGCTCCTAGCCGACTGCTATTACTCTGTAATGCTCCTGTCTGGAGCAGGAGGAAGAGGAGGAGGACGACGACGAAGAGGAGCAGAACGAGAAATGTTTGATTGGATACAGGAACACATATGAGGCTAAATTATAATCCATGATTGTCTAAATATTCTAAATTAAGTGCGTCCGAGCCGTTATAAGCAGCTCCCTCATTCAACCACTCTTCCTTGACCGAGAGAAGAAAGTGTAGCTGCTGCAGCGCACATGTGGCAGACAGGAAGTGCTATAGCATGGGGGGGGGGAGCAGGAAAGATGATGGCCCCTTCATCCCCAGCAATCATTAGACAAGACTCCAGAGGAAGTCAGAAATCACCACTCCATATGATCCATACTTCCCGTCTTCCCAGAAAAATAGGAAGGGAGCTTTCCGAAAAGATGTAGTAATTGTGTGGAACAAGTGAATGCACAGCTGGGGGAAGCCTGTTATTCAATGTGTGTAATGGTCTGTCTGTGCACCAGCCGTTGGGAATAAATCATAAGGATCATCTCTTTGGTTAGGGAAATGATGCTCTGCACTGACAGTGATGTCACTTGCTAGGAATAATGCACAGAGGTAAGATAAACAAACAGGAGACCTAAAGAGCATATTACTACCATTTAGGTAAAGTGAAAACAATTATTACTATGTCTCACCATTAGACATTAGAGGTTATGGCTACTATTAATTCCCTTTTAAAACATGGTTTGATAATAATATTCCCACACTTCACTTAAAGTTGTAGAAATAAAATCTGACCTCATTCGGCTTCTACAACTGAGAATCAATCAGAGCTGGCAGCAGCGAGGATGTTTACTTGTCCAGAGAGTTGGAAAATAATTGCCTGTTCATCATTTCATGTTGTAAATAAAAAGTTCTCTATTCTCAGTGAAGCTTGGGAGGTATTGGCAAGTGATCATGTTATTGTTATATTGTACGGAGTATCGTCTTTCTTTGCAATGGATTAGTTTAAATCACAACAATAAATGGGCTAATCTCTGATATAAGATTCTACACTTGCTTCTGCTATTTCTCTTTTTTTATCTAAAAAGACAAAATGCAAAGAAGTGAAAAGGTCCAGAATACAGCAACAGAGATTTAGAGGGAAACAATAATGCGTAACCCAGCTTTCCCAAGACCTAATAAAGTTCCAGGGTCCTTCAGACTGACTGATAGGAAGGCCATACTGTAAACTATGAACAATTATTGGTTACGCAACTGCCATTTTTATATGCATTATAAACAACGATGTTTGCTATATGTTTTAAAGAAGACATGACTCGTTTTCTGCCCAAACTAAGTTTTTTTTCATTAAGTGAAAAGCACCATATTTTCATTTCTGATAACTTTTACGCTTACAATTTGAAACAGTATGTAATCCTTTCTGTGTTATTTTTTACAAATGTTGTTCCTCAAGCCATTCCCAATCCGTCTCACACCAGGATAGGCTAAAATGCAGAAAGAACCTTGAATTGAATGTAGTATTAGTAAATATCTATTTCGCTGGGTTCATTCCCTTTCATATTTTGACGTTTCTCCAAAGGAAGCCAGAGAATCACGTATTGATTTCCTTAAAGCAGCTGGGGGGTAACTTAAGTGGTAAAAGTGATAAAAGAAAACCCAGCCTCTTGAAATATTAAATTGTATAGCTTCAGTTCTTCCCCACAGGGATGAAGTTTACTGTCCATCTTTTGATTCCTTCCATTATGGTCTTAAGAAGATCTGGTGCATTTAACTCAACTATATTTCAAATAGGGGATCACATTTTAGTCCTTAGTAGTTCATGCCTTTTGGCTTCTGCAATTTCCTACAATTGGAAGCTGCTCGCCTGCATTACTGCAAGACTTGTGATTCTGAGTCAGTGAGTGAGTGTCCTCTCCTCTGCTGTGGCAGCTTGAGGATGCTTTTGATTTGTTGAATCACCAGCTTGTCCTTTCACCCAAGGCCATCGCTCTCTGTGGGCCTGCAGCTGACCGAGGGCCAAAGTAAAGTCTGTTTGGCACCATGTTGGATGATGAGTATTAGGGATGATTGAGTAGAGGGATTACTCTGTGTACAATACTGAAAATGCCCCAAACTTTAAAATAATAAACCATTATGATCAGAATATTAATCTTTTCACATATGGTGAATTTAATTACGTCATGTATCATAACTGAGACTGGGCTGTGCTGTCTTGGTAGACAAAGTGCATGGCCAATGGCTCAATCTCATTACATTTAACACACACACACACACACACACACACACACACACACACACACACACACACACACACACACACACACACACACACACACACACACACACACGTTAGAAACAATAGAAAAGCTGTTTTTAAGACTGTAGATCACCCTGCCACCCCCACCCTTATCCACTCTATCAGCCTCCGCCTCACACCTGCTGTGTGCCGTGAGAGGAGGGAACAACTGGAGGCATGGACAATGTGTGTGTCCATTTGTGAGAGTGTGTGCATGTGTGAGTGTGGAAGAAGGAGCGCAACTGGGCATGCAAGCTCTTGTGTGAATGTGTGTGTTTACGTGTGCACAGTCCTACGAGAATGCATCAGTGCTTGTGGCACAGGGAATGGCCTTAGCTCGATTTAACTCCCCACTGAATGTCACTGTGACGCCAGTCAGACTTTGTGTGGCCGCATACCTCCATGATATCCAAGATATGGAAAAAATGTGTGGACTGGTAAGTATTGGAGATTACATGGCTCCTCTTAGCTCTGGCCTCGATAAGGCCTCAAATCCAATGGTGCCATGACGCTGCAATTTGGGGCTTTTGTTTTTGGAAAAACAGTGAATCTTCATACCATCTACTATCATCACTCTTTGACTCTTTGCATGAGTACTTGTGTGAGCCTGAGAAAGGGCTGGTGGGTGCGTGTGTGTGTGTGTAAAAGAGAGGGGAGGCATGAGAGAGGGATTATATGTAGAAATAGCAATGGATCAACTGAAACACAACATTGAGTTGATTTTTTAATTGCCTCTCGCCTGCAATGAATGGCCGATGCAGCTGTCTGCGTGAACAGCTGCTCGTCTCAAAAGACAGACCTAACTCTGGGAGGGAGGAAAGAACAATGTTGGGTGAATCATATTCAGCCTATGAGGTATTTTGCAATTTCACAACTTTAAAAAATGCGTGCAGGATTAAGAATCACTTTTATTGGAAATTCACATCTGTTCCAAGGCGCATTTCCCAGGGAGCTCGCAAAGATGCATTTTCAATGCTGTCTGGGCAAGACAGAAACAGTATGGTGTATTACTTCATAAAGTAAACTAAAGCAGACAATGTTTTTTTCTTCTTCCAGCTTTGTTAATGTGGAACCTTTGAGTTTACAAGTTGCAATTTACAACTGTGGAAGAACCAGGGGGTCTGAAAGATTTGATGGAGCAGTCTGTATGGATTTCCTGCAGAATATTTGTCAGACTTGAATTAAGTACTGTTGTTTTTTCTCTCTCTCCCTTAGCCCGAGGCCTTGTGGCTGACTACTCCACATCTATAAATCACCAAGAACGCATGCTTATATCCCGGAGCGAGTGCGCTGAGTCAGTCTGGCAAGGTTAATCACATTCACATCTCCTCGGCCTGTTTGCAGCAGCCAACTGATAACCAAACACACATTACGGGGCATGATCCCTCTTGTTTGCGAATTCTGCTCATATCATGCTTTTACAGTGACGCCACATGAAAGAGCTGGATTTAGGTGAAGATGAGGGTTCATAGTGTTTTGGTGATTGTATCCAAGCATAAACAGCGGTGTCCCGGGTGTTTGGACAACAAAAGTAAAGCCAAAACACATAAAGAATTGCTTTAAAAAAAGGAGAGAACCAGATAGCAGAGGGGTGGGGCTGGGGTAGCAGTGGATGAGGATCGACCATAATAACAGACAGAGGTCTCATTCACGTTGCACACATGCTCGGCTTACACTGGGGCCAATGGTCGGCTGCACTCATATCCTTCTGTCTGTGTGTTTGATGGACTTTAAGAGAATATGGGAAGCGTTCCAAGTGTGACACATGGTTTTTAAGCCTATGAATACAAGCAGCATAAGTGTAGTAGAAGTGTGGGTGTGTTTGCAAGTGTTCATGTTGCAGAATATGGACGCATGTGATTGTGCTTCAATCTTTTTTCCATTCAGTGCTTTGCTTTTTTCCCTCTGTCTCTCTCTCTTTTCTCAGAAGTGCCCTACCCAGATATGTGGGAATTAGGCCACATCGCTCACTACCATCCTACTCTAATCAAAGTGCCGATTCTTGAAACAGACAGCTGTTGTCATGTGCCTTGATTCCAATGGTTATCTGTCCCTGTAGCTGCCCAAGTTCTTAGTAGGCCAGCTGAAGTTGTAGAGAGAGCAAGGGTTAACAACGTCTGCTTATTCAAACTCCAGTCAGAGCAGTGCTCCAGTTCACAAGACAGAACAAACACACTGATCCAAGGTAAGTTCCTTTTTTCTCATCCTCACATTCATACATGCCTGAACATCAGATAATAATGAATTCAAAATAATGTTGATAGAAACATTGTGTGCTTGTTTTGAATTTGACTTTTACTTTGTGAAATGCTAAAAATGATTGTCTTGAGTTGTATTATCGTTATTCACTAACACCTTGTAGCGACAATTAGCAGGTGAAGGGTTGTTTTAATCTTTAGAGTGTGATCGCTTATAGCCACATAAGGAATTGCTTTTCTTTAAAGCCAAGCTAAAAAAGCCAAGAGGGAAAAAACTGCCATATCAATTTCCCAGCACTTTTATGTGGACGTTTCTCCACCTAACAGATCTGCGTCCAGTACATAGCTGCGAGTCAATCAAACTTGATTGATAGAAGTGAACACTCTTGCCATGTTTCTCCATGTTTCTCCATGTTTCTCCATGTTTCAGGGCCTTCAATCCGCTCAAGCAGCAGGGAACATTCTCCAAATGCCTTCTTGGCTGAAATTTGGTAGATAGGAATGGCTAAACGTATACACTCATGAGTTATTGTCTACCTATCTATTCCTGGTTCACGGCAGTTGTCTGGGTGGGCCGTGGCAGAAACAATACCAACTGTTGCAGACTAACTGAAGGACACACTTTATTATTACAAATGCATCTGCAGATTAAGCCCCCGAGCCGTCAGGTGTTAAGGGCAAACGGTTGAGAGCACACAGCGGAAAAACTTCAACCAGCTTTAAAGACGCAGCTCATCGGGATCAAAGTTTGAGATGGGATTTTAAAATCCAAACTATACAACATTACCATGATTCCCCAAATACAGATCTGCTCAAATCTATTGGAATGCAGGAGAATACATTTCAGGTATATATTGAACACTTAAGTCAAATGTATGCGAGTAAAAACTGCTTTTAGCATTTGGCTAGCAGTCTTTTAATGTTATTGGACTGAGTTGTTCTAAGTTAATAAAACAAACGTTTCAAATTGAAAATAAATCTAAGGTAGAATTCAAAATGAAATGTCTGCATTGCACAAAAAGTCTTAACACATGAGTCATCATTTAAAGTGGAAACATTATAAGATGATAGTATACGTTTAGAAAAGTAATCCCTGAATTGGTAGGTGCAGAAGTATTGCTAACATATCAGTTTTCTCAGAGCTAAGAGAGTTGTCATAGGTCATTACAAATCAATTTGTTGCCTGTTTCCATAAAACATCATGGCTCGGGTGACTGGAAGGCGGAAGCGTGGGAGTGTGGTAATGAACAGAGAAAGACGAGGCATGTTCAAACACAGTTATGCTTTAGAATAAGCTTCACAGGGCCCAGTGAGGCCATACATTGAACTGTTGCTACCCAACGTTTTACTTTGAAAGAAAATATAAAAAAATGAAGAAGAAAACTATTGGAGCATTTAAGATGGGGAGAGGTTTAACCCTGAAAACTCACACCAACAAACACATATGCAGGGTTGGGGTCATAGGTCAAATGGGCCTGAACTCTCTCCCTTTAGGCTGAGGACATCAGAGGTCCCTGCTCTCCATTTATCTTACCCATCATCCCTCATCAGGCCAGGGTGACCCCGCGACCCTGGAGCTAGGGTTACCTGTCTATTCATGAGCACGGGGCTTGACGCTGCATCAACATTTGTTCTGTGAGAAAGGAGGGAGTAAGAAAAGAGGAGTTTGTGTCAGTGTGGTCGAGACACTTAATATATACCATACCATATACAATAACTTATTTTATATTAAAACGAATGAATAAAAGTATATCCTCGGTTTGTTACCACTCAAAAGTTCACATTTCTGGCAGGGCCCCGATTGGTCGACTTTTTACTCAGATGACATGCAAGTGTGATCATTCCTGTTTACTCAGAGACAAAGATCCAAAGGAACTCAGTAAACAGATGCCTGCATGGATACCAATTAAAGGGGATACCTATAAAAACACTCCAAAAGCCCCCCTTTGTGTGCTGTCAGCTATCAATCAGGGTGCCGTAAGTGGGATCCTTGAGAGGAGATGCTATCAGCGCTGCCCCGTATACACTCACACCACAGTTTCCCTTATCTCTGCTGAGATAACAGATCCCCTCTAACAGCAAGAGGCCTGAACCAGACACACATGATTTCTGCAAGTCTCTCCATCTCCCTCTCACTCTCCGTCTCAGCTGGGCAATAGGCCACTTCATTTCAGACAGGGGCCCTCAGTAAAAAAAACAGTCAATTTGCTCTGGTTCCTGTTTAAAATTCAATAAGCTCGTCTCTTATATTGCAACCGTGTGGTGCTAGCGGAGGCTTCAGAGGGCACGTGCTACTTCTGATCCCAATCTCTGATGTTATCAGCCCCCAGAAGAAACATGATACATGTCTCAGTTGACGAATCTAGATGGGCATGAAATTGAACCAAAACCAGAAGCGTGACACATCAACAATTTCCTGCAACTGTACTTTTCTATTGTTTTGTAAACATTGCATTTCCGTAAAAACTAAATTGATTAGGGTTTATAGCCCTCGCTGATAGGGAAATGGAACCGATGGTTCAGGATTGCGAAATTAGTATTTTCTTTACAACATGAAAATGTTTTAAAAAAGTGCAGTAAAAGGCACATCATTTATCAGAATATATTTGAATATAAATGTTTTAGTTTTAGGTATTATGTAGGTTATGTAAACGTATTACCAGCAGGTGTTGACAAAGCACTGCATGTTGACCATGTTGCGGTTAACATATGTTTGGTCAATGCAGTTCTTTTTTCCTCGGTTTGAGGACAGCGAGCTGAAAAGATGGTCCTGGACTGGCCATGTTTTTCGGGCTTCGACCAGACCACAGCACGTTGGGCCTAATAACAAAAACAAGCATCCCGGTGTGGAGCTGGTCCCACAGTGTGAGGACCTTAATGAGGAACATGTGGAGCTGCCCAGACACACAGTCAGAGGAAACCCAATCCCCTTTTTTCTCCCCCTTCCTTCTCCCTTCCCCCCTTTCTACCATTCTTTCTTTCTCACTCTCTACCATTTCTAAGTTTTTATCATGAAGCAATTCTTTAAGATCCTCCGTTATGGTCTCTGTCAGATATATGTTTAACACTTAAACACTCCTCTAAGCTCCGTAGAAACACCCTCTTAAGTATTTTTTTCCCCTCTATTGTACCAGAACAAGTGACCCACTGTGAGCAGAAGAAATATGCCTTGTTTTAACCGATACACTCTTTTAGTGCTCCCTCTCTCGCTCTCTCTCACTTTGACTTGTTTTGGAGTTGGTAGTATATACATATTGCTGGGTCATGCAATGCAATACGCTCATAAGGAAACATGGGAAGAAAGAACTCTTTCTCCACCCATCAAGCCTGACAGGCGGTCTCTGAGTTTCTTTCATGGGCTGAATTCATCCTTACCGTCCACCTGGATCAATTAACTGTTTGCTTCAGTGGTCCTCAGACCCGCAGTATGAAACCTCAGTTCATTTAGTGGACAGCAGCTTATTGGGCAAAACTATGGCTGTTTTCTTTTGCCTTTACACTTAAGCCATGGAGATGTTTTATTTATTTCACTATATCTAAAACTGAGCATATTCTTATATTCAGCTAAGATACACTGACATAAACAATAGCTTTTCTTTTGCAGGAAATGTCATCACTCACTCCTGAAGAAAAACCCTGTAACAGGTGAGTCTTTCATTTTAATTCAATAGAACTGCCTTCTATACTGCGTCACTGTTGGGGTTGTCATAGGGAATAAGAAGTGTAACCTGTTTGGTAAAATTTAAAATCTGACCATAAAGTGCAGAAATCAGATCAACCAACCAAGCCTCCAAAATTAGCTGAACAAACAGAGTAAGGTAGAGCCCTCTGGGGGGATCAACTTGGCACACTGGATCCAGTGTGACAGAGGCCCTTCTGGCAGCTCAGAACAATCCAAACGTTCCACTTGGGTTGAGCTGTCTTCGTTTCCCCCTCCACTATATATATCAGCCCCACATCAACATGGGCCTGTGAAGACCTTTCACAAGACTGACAGGCCACCTGAATCACACAATTGTGTGGCCGGAGGAGCCTGCATGTGTATAGAAAAACCAGTGATCCAATAACTGTCTGGGTTCACTTCTCCCTCATAAAGTCAGGAGGGAGGCGCAGAGGGAGACCCACAGCTTCAAGCCAAATGTTCCAGCTGCACCAAAACAAAGCTTTAACTTTTATTCTAACTCTGAAAAGCAGGCAAACTGTGACTTTTTTTACAGCAATGTTTTAGTCAGAAATTGCTAAGTGCATTCAATTTCTTTATTTGCATGGCACAAAAAACACAGAAGTGTCTCAGGAAAAAGGCTGAAAGCCGGTGAGTGTATGTGCCTTGCAGATGGTCCGGCCTCAAAGCAGCTGTGTAAATGAAAGACGGAGTGTCGTTGAATGAGGTGAGAGAGATGGAAAGTTGGCCACAAAAGGAAAAGAGTAACAAGCAAGTTGCTAACAAAAAATGTAATGGAAAAATGAATAGCACACTAAAAATTGCAGAGAGAAAAGAATCATGTCGGAGTATTCTCTCTGAAGTGACAAAAACAGACAATGCCTATTTGTTTTGGCAGGTAAAACACCACTGTGAAGCAGAAAATAACAGATTAACTATAAAAGCTAATCAGTATATTGAAGGCAATCCCATGGTTATCACTATAATTCCCCTTAGTCTTTGTCATTGCTTTTCAGTCAGGATAATTACATCTGGTTGTATATCTAGCGTATTCACTAGATAAAGTAAGATATCATCTGCCAGTTAGTGAATTTGCAAACACAATTGTGAAAACAAGTATAACTAGTAAAACTAGTATTTGAGCTCTAAATCTGGAGTGAGAAAACAACAGGTGGCAGAATCCTGCTTAATGCTGAAAACACAAAAACATTTGTCCTGGTGAGGTGTAGGGGGTGAGTGGGGGGTAAAGACAGTTGTCCCCGAGTGCTTTAGTGCAAAGAGTTAAAATGTGTACTAGTCGGTTTCAACTCTGAATTAGAAAAGCTGCTCAACTCTGAAAATACTGAATGTCTCTAAGTTTAAAACTTAGCAAATATATTCTGTATATTTATACATAAAAGGGCGGTTATAAACACAACACCCTGTGATTATTTAATTATAATCAGGGCAATTATAACTTCATACCGCCCCCTCTGTTGTTGAATGCACTTTTCCTCTGTCCTGATCCCCGTAATTGCCACTACATGTAAATATAAAGCGGTTAGTGAATAATTAGGGTTTCATTGGCCAGCAATCACCTCTGGGCCCGGTCTACACTTTAGACCCCTCCCTCGTAGAGCCGCCCTGAAGACAGGGGCCCCTTTTGAATGACAGCGCTTGGTAAGGAAGACGAATTTTTGTCTGATTTCCCGCAGCCGCAGCGTCGATGAGAAGCAGTCGAGGAACTCCATTCTAACTGAATGGATTGGTATGGGGAGAAGCGGATTTCAAATCACGGCTAAGCTGCAGCTTTTGGACTGTGTAACTTTGACGATGGTTTTACTGTCGCTGCTGTTTCGACCAGGTATGTTGTTTGCTTTTTCAAAATCCGTGCTCCTCCACTCCTCTCCTGCATGCATTGCCAAGCTGAGTCCCGCTCTCCTCGCAATGAAGGTGGAAAAAGTTAACTTTTTCCTCGCGTTGTGTGGCTGAAATCAAACCCTTTAACAGCTTGGAAGTTTCCTCACTCACACAACCTATGTTTTGAGTGTTTTGGTGTTTAAAAGAAGGAGAAAAGCACTTTGTTTGAAAGTTTTCCGTCCGCTGCGGGGACAAAGTAAAGTCCTGTTGTATCCCAGCCTCCAGCCAACACTTGTGCATCGCTGCTAGCCGAGCAGCACGAGTTGACTCATTTTACGGACGTCTTTTTGAACATATTTCCAACCATTCTCGCTTAAAACAACGACACCGAACAATGTGTCAAGAACCGCTTGACAGTTACCACGTTTAACAAAGCACTTGTACCGCTTCTGCTATAGTTTGATCAAGTTATGTGAGATATGGCTTAGCTCCGTGTTAGCATAGCTCGCTAGCAACAGGCATCCAGCACCCGCAGTCAAAGCAAAAGAAAACTAGGGAGCTTATTTTTTACCGAGAAAATGCTGCAAATCGGACACCAAACAGTCACAGTTAAAGTCCCGAGGGCAACTTTAACATTTAGGTTAGACTGTTTTAGTCCTTGGCAAAGCTTAGGGCACCATGGTATTTTCCCTTATTCATGCTTCATTTATTAACTTTGTTCGCTACCATGCATGGGGGTCCAACTTGTTGGCCTCTGAACGTGTTGGTCGCTCCTCTATTCCGGGGGAGATCAGAAACCCCCACTCCATCCCAAGAGCATGTTGTGTTTGGATTTTTGGAGTTGATTTATTTTATACTTCGTGGACATTTTCCCATACGTTTGTGTTGAAACACTTCACACATTTTCTCTAGGGAGTTATTTTTTTAAAGTTGGGAACTATTCTGAAACGGATATTCTTACAGAAAATAACAGATTGTAACATTTGTTAAGGCTTGAACTGCAAAACTTCATATCTTGATACACCTGATAACATGTTAAGATGATAAACAAAAGACACCTCAGGTTCTTTATTATTCGGGTACTTTTTGGTAACTGGATGCTTGGTGGAATAATGTAGGTTTGTTAAAGTAATGTAAAGTAAATAATAACTTTATAGTTAGTGTACGGGTGCAATCAATATGATAAATAGCACTTTAAATCGTGCTTTCAGCCTTGTTTTGTAGTCATTATGAGCTGGCTCTGAGTCTAGTAAGGCACTACAAATATTCAGTTATGTTAGTTTGCGACCTTCAGACGATGTCCAAGCCATTGGGGAAGTGTCTTTATCTCTAGCTCTTAATATAATCTACTAATCTGTAATATACAAATACTGTCTGTGTGGCCGTTTAGCTTGTTCCTTCTCTGCTTTTATATTCACCACACTTGGTAGTCTACTAAGTGCCAGATCATAAAGGTCCTTTGGGGAGATGCACAGTAGTTGATGGCTGTGCAGGCAGTGATTGTCCGAAAGTGTCAATCACATTGGTGACCTCGCAGCGAGACGGGAGAGGTCTGTTGGAATTCAAAGGAGGGATGCAGAATGCCTCTAACTTGACCTCTCACACTTCATCCCCGTTTTTATCAGAGCCTGTGTTAAAGTGCAGACTGTGAGTTGCATTAATCATTTCTCATGCGCCCCTTCGGTGCATCAGACGTATTTGAAAGAGAAGAAATGGTGCAAAAGTATTTGGGTGCACTGGTGTGAAATATCTGTGCTTATCTTGTTGTCTTAGTACGCACTGTTGGGAGATAAGATGGGGCTTTGGAGCAAACTGAAGATTATTCTGTTGCAATAGTAGATACGTCTGTTGCAACTGATTTGTTTTTATTCAGGAAGAGTGATGGATGTGTTGAGGTTGCTGCTAATCTGTAAAGGAAATTATATCCGCTTTTTAGATACAAGAAAAATAGCTGCAGTTCTTTGTTTTCCCAAATGATAATTATCCCACTTGTAAGTCATATGAACAATACACCCCAAATGTAGCTGTTACCACCCAAATATAACATGCTGTGCTCTGCTGCCTCCACCAGCCGCCCTCTAGCTTCCAGTTTGGACCCCCATTTGCAGAACAAGTGTGACTCTTTGGGATGTTCCTCTTGAAGTAATCTGCACTCCCCCCCCCTACACGAGCCTTGCCGTGCCATGTACTGTAGCTTAACGCACTTCAATTACCTTAGCAACAGCCAAACCACATTCAACACCCTCAGGCAAACTAACACAGGTTGGTTTTCCTCCTACAGTGAGGCTACATGCTATTTCTGTGAGGGCTGGTTGGAGGAAATAAGATTTGACTGACTCCAAAGCACAGTGTGGGATCATGGCCTCGTGAGCTCACGCATTTGGGTTTTAATGGCTCTCCTGAAGGAGGTAAACTTGATAGTGGAAAAGTTTTGACTCTGCCTCTTGTGCCGAGGTAATATATCCATAAACGTCACATTGTTTTTTAAGGATCTTATTTGTAGAAAACATGTTTTTGTTCAGATCGGTAGAACTAGTCAGCAACATTCGGGCAGAGAGGGAGGTAACTGATGAAAATGAGAAGAGACGCAAACATCTTCACAGTAATTGTGATGCATTAATGAACTCGGTTCAAAATGTTGATGCTTCTTGTTTTTGTTTTCCAGCTCACTGCCAGCAGTGTCGAATCCAGCGCTGCAATGCAGAGTATGTGGCTTCGACCTCCCCCTCTAGTGGTCTGCAGGAGGACGTGGCTATGGATGTGGACTACTGCATCGCCTTGAGGGCCTATGCTCTGTGCACCCGGCGGCAGGCGAGGAGCTGCAGGGGGGACCTGGTCTACCACTCGGCCGTCTTCCGCATTAAGGAGTTATTCTCTCAGCATAACTGCTCCAGCGAAGGGCCAACCTCCTCCGCCAAGGTCCCCAGTACATCTCGGCCAGCCGTGTCGGAGCTGTGCGACTATGAGAACCGGGTCCTCATGTCGGGCTCAGCTGGACAGCAGAAGAAATATGCCCACTGTGGATTATTCGGAGACCCGCACCTACGGACTTTCCGTGACGAGTTTCAGACCTGCAAGGTGGAAGGGGCGTGGCCTCTGATTGACAACCGCTTCCTGTCGGTGCAGGTGACCAATGTGCCTGTGGTCCTAGGCTCCAGCGCCACAGCAACCAGCAAGGTAAGGATGTGTTGAGTGTAAATGATGCAATGATAAGTCCATTGATTTTATTTTTTGGGGGAAAATGCCAAATATACTCTGGTTTCTGATTTAGAATATGTGGAAGCAAAGAGAGGATTTTCAGGCTTTTCCGCATTTTATATTCAAAATGATTTACGGAGTCATGATGGAACAATTGTCATATCAGTCAATAAAGGCCTGCATAGGTAAATCTCAAACGTTTCGCAAGAAAAATGTGCAAAGAAACCAAGAACAAAGTCGGGGACCCCTCTGAAAATAGTTTTGCGACCCTTGGTAGGAGGGAGTTTTTCTCCCAGCAACACCTACAACAACATTAGGAACAATCACTGATTATCGTTGGATTTGAAACGAACGGCAAATTAGCAGGCGTTTTTTGAGTGCTGGCTTTTTAGCTCGAGTATTGCCATAAAGTATCAACATGTGAAGTTAATCGTCATTCCACGGTGCCTCTCGAGCCCCCAGCATTCCTCTTGTCTTGGAGCTCCTTCAGATCTATGAGGGAAAAGAGAGAGGAGGGGAGTCCTTCAGCGGTGTTGAATCACAGACATGCTTGAGCGCTCTACCTTTAACACATGGGTGGTCATATGCTAGTGATTAGGCTCACTCTAACATTTTCCTCCACCGCCACGATCTGGAATGTTTTTTCACCCCTCTGGTCAAATAATTAACTGGGTGCTTTTTGAGTAAATATTGATAATGTGGAAAAATAAAGGAATAATTGGACAGCAGCTTGGGTTTTTTATTAGCCTAGTGAAATAGTCTCATTTTGTATGCTCTAAATGTTTTTAATTTGTTAGAAATTCTATCATATCTCTGTATTTGGTGCTGAAAGTCACATTGGTATATTGGGCTCCCCAAACATATATCATGTCCATGAAAAAAAGGTTTATCAAGCATTTTAAAAATGTGAATTGCATGCTTAGTAAACTCGTTTCCAACTGTCAGGAAATGTTGTCCCTACAAAACCAATGTTATATCAGCAATTTGAGAATGATAAACTATAATACGATGGATCTCAGAACAAACTCTATCAAAGGTATTGGCGGTGTGTTCAGAGACTAATGCAAACCTGTAGTGTGGGTGGGTCTGTGCCAGCACCCGCATGCCCCCATCATGCTTTTAGAGTTGTTTGCAACTGCCAGACTTAAGACAGGAAATCATCCATCAAATACAGCATCCCCGTAAGTGTAAACGTGACCACAGCCACCACTTTGTCAAGATACTTTAAAGAAACAGAGGTTAGGCCCCAATTTTTCAAAGCTCAGCTGGAATACAAATCATAGTCAGTCAGCGAGTGCCTGAGTAGAAGTGTTGGAAGATGCATGAGGATTTGAGGCTGTTATGAAACAGTGTTGTTTGAGCCAACATTCAGTGGAGTTATGCCTGCAGTTGTATTCATTCGTTTTAGGTAACCTCACAATGGTTGTAATTGTGGTTTATTCGAACAGTTTCTATACTTGTATAGTATCTAGTGGACCACTGATAGCAATCACTGTCACTCTTTAAAAAAAAAAAAGGCTAGTGTTTGCCATCAACACCTACCACAGCATTCAAGAATGTTTGGTTTCCTGCTGCCACCTTGTGGCTTTGACTGGTACTGCTCTTTTTCAATGAATTATGGCATATATTTTCCCTGCTAGGATGCGTTTCTTAGTGTACGGACGACATTTATTCAAACTGACACATTCAATTGTGAAATGTTGGGATCGGCCTTTTCAATACTGATCATATTTTTTCTTCTAATTTCAGATCACTGTGATCTTCAAGTTCTTCCAAGGCTGCACAGATCAGAAGGTGTACCAGGCCACCACAGTAGATCTGCCATTGGCCTTTCAGGATGGGAGCCGCAGTGGTGGTGAAAGTGGCAGCTTGTCCATCGTAGAGCGCGGCGGCTCAGGAGTGGGCCGGCAGGTGAGGATCCAGGCCCGTTATATCGGCACCTCCATCATCGTCCGGCGCGTGGGCAGCTACCTGACCTTTGCCATCCGCATGCCAGAGGACACCCTGGACTTTACGGAGGACAATGGTGGTCTGCAGTTATGCCTGCACGGCTGCCCACGCAACGAGCTCATCAAGGAGCACACGCTGGGCATTCAGAGCCAGCAGCCCCGCCTGCAGGGCACCAACACAGAGCTGGGGCCTCTGCGGCCCCCTCACCAGGTCTACACAGTGGAGCGGGCCACAGCCAGGTGTAGAGAGACTCTGCAGGTGGAGGACGTGTACTTTCAATCCTGTGTGTTTGACTTGCTGACCACAGGAGACCCTGAGTTCTCTTTGGCAGCCTACGGGGCTCTGGAGGATTTAAAGGCGCTGCCGCCGAGTAAACTGAGGCAGAATTCCCCCAGGACTCCTCGAATTTACAACGGAGGAGCGTCACACACTGCAGCAGCAGCCCACAGCTCCCTCTTCTCACTCGTACTCCTCATTCTGCTACTTTTGTAAAAGATTCAATATAAATGATTTTTTTTTTAAAGAACAAACATGGAGACAAACAGAACATGGAAGCATTACCAGCTTGAGGAAAGAGTGACTAGAGCAGACCTATACATTTGTATTTTTTTGGGGGGTAGGGCAGTTTGTGAATGTTGTGTATTTTTTCAACTCCACATTTTCTATGTCACATCAGTTGTAAAAAGACAGAAACACATTAAAATAGTCAGATTTGGGTCCAGTACTACAGGTTTCAGGTCATTGGTTTACACCAATCTTTATCAACTCATCAATGGGTGTGCTGATGTCATGGCAGTTCAACAGCATTGTGTTTTAATGTAAATAGAAAGGTCATTGGTGCACAACCTTTAAACACTCCACCATGTATGAAGCTGCACATGTATCTGCAAACTGTATGTTAACAGTTGTTCTGCAGAGCAATAGCCGCTTTCACACCAAGTACTTTGCCGTACTTAGTTCCCAGCACTTACTTCCTCCATGGAACTAAAGAGCAGATTGCGTTCACACCGGAATAAGTCCCTGAGGGAAGATTACGCAAATGAAGCCGCTGACGTCACTTCTTTTTCTTCTGCTTTGGGTTTACTGGCAAGCCGCAAACAACTTCACGGCGTATACTGCCATCCGAAGTCCCCGGCCAGAAGTCCCCGGAGTTTGGGACTGGCTTCAGTAGAAGCTGCTGGGACTCCCAGCAGCTTCTACTGAAGCCTTCCGAGTAAATCCCCAGAACGCCGACACCTTCTCATCCCTCAACCGCTCCCATGTTTTTTTTTGTGTTGCCATAAGTTGTTCTCTCTCCGTTGGTGCGCGGGACTAATGCTAATGCTAATAATGCTAATGCCAGCAAATACAATGGCGGCTTCACAAAACCTTTCAGAGTTTTACGGGGCGTGGTTTGCAATTCGCCCAGCCAATCAGAAATTTGAACTTTCTTCTCCCCAGGAAAGTACCTGCTCTCTAGCAGGGACTGAAAAGGGGGGAAAAGTTATCATGAACTAAGTTCTCTTTTTGGTGTGAACGCAAAATCCTAGGAACTATCGGAACTAAAAGGGAAAAGTACGGGGAAAAGTATTCCGGTGTGAAAGTGCCTATTGATTGATAATTGTTCTCAGGAAAGGTCATGCATTTGAAACGAATGAGGCAAAACGGGGGAGGGGGGCTGGATGGGAAATGTGCAGCAATTAAATTATAATGCGGAGTGAAGAGGGGCTTCAAGTGTAATAAACAGCACATTCAGGGAGTAAACGTGAGCCACCAACAAGGGAAGAAAAGGGCAAATGTTTCTGCTGTCAGAGGAGGAGCAGTGTAAGGGGGGGAGGGAGTGGAGGGCGTACTGGCTGTGGGCTGCTGTTGTGTATTTCTGTATAGATCAGATGGAAAAAAGAGACAAACTCAGACGGGATACAAAGAACAAACCACAGTCTGCATGCACAGGTGACACAGAGGCACACTGGGGTCTGACTGCTTTAAAATATCAACAGACAACCTAATCTCACCAGAATGCGTGACTCCACCACGACTCCTTAACACCGCACTGCGTGGTGGAGTCACGAATTTAGCTACATTTAAGTGTCTGCACCACGCAAACAACCCCCAATGTAAAGTGAATGAGGCTCCTTTGTTGTGGTGCACACACGCATTTCTACAACGTCCAGCAGTGAGCTTTTATTCTATAAAACGTTTTTAAAATCTACTTTATAGCTTGTAGTAACTCACGGGAGGCTTCTTTTATTTTATTTGTATTCATAATAATTTTTATTTTTCGTCAGAATGTATTATGGCAACCCTGTCTCCTAAAAATTACGTTCCCACCGAACTAAACTGCATTCTCAATTACGTTTAGCTAGAAACTTATTTTCTCCCACGTTACGTTCGTTATGAACGTATCTGAAATACGTTTATTTTCTACATATCTTCTAGAAACATATTTTCTCCCACGTTACGTTTCTTATGAACGTCTCTTAAATACGTTTATTTTCTACATATCTTTTCCATTTATTGTCTTGCTTATAATAATGATAATAGTCATTTATAAATATCATTTTAGAGCACACATTTGAAATCAGTAGGCGAGGCTGTAATTTCGCCAGTTGTTACTCTCATGAGCGAGGCAGAAATAATAGTTTTAACATGCCAAAAAGCCCTGCCTTGTCGCTTTATTGCACCTCAAACATATAAAACAAATCCAGAGGTTAGGTGTTCTCCTGCTACTTTCCTCTTAAGAAGAAAGGACAATTCTTCTTAGAGGACGATGTAGGATGCTGTACCATCATGTCCCGTGTTTTAAAAGTATGCATGGCGGCGAATGTAAATGGGCAACATTATTCTTTATTAAATTTAATCTCGTTTATTAATATTTGTTATAAGACAATGGAAAACAGCTTAGGTAGGAATATCTGTCCTTTTTAAATAAAAAGAAAAACCTGCAATTATTTTGTGTATGCTAAAATGTCAGTACATTTTTATCTGATAACCTTTATTTAAACCCAGATGAAAACATTGAGACTAAATCTTCATTTACAGTGGCTGAGCTGGTCAAGGAAGGCAGCAACGTACACATCTTACAACATAACACACACATATCATTTACATTGTATATCAAAATACAATGTAATGATGGTGGTATATCAAAATACAGGAAAACACAACTAAGTAAACAAAGACGGAAAAGCCACGTCACTACATTGTGCACATTTCGGGACATTAAGGTACACTACTTGATTTACTGCAAGAGCAGCTGGTCGGTAAGGACCCAGGCCCCGGCTCCAGGATGCAAATGACTGAGGGGGCTGTTAAAAAATCAAGGGGGCAATTTGTTTCACAACCAACGAAAACTCCTGGCAATGTAGTGATTTTATTATAAGAATCTCAGACCACCAAAGCTTTTCTTTCACTCCCCCCTACAATCTCTTTGCTTCTTTATCCTCTTGATATGCTCATTTCGTGTCACTGCTGACTGAACCCCCCTCGCTCATTCATGGTTGGTTCGGTGTCCTTGTGATCGTTTAATAATAGATAGTAGATACTCTTGATAGACTAGATACCCGGCACTTTGTGTTAACAAGGGCACTGACGATCCATCGATTTCCAACTCCCAATGTTATAAGATGGACCGGGCTCCTGCCTGTCTGCTTACATAAGTTGAATGAAGTTTACGATGCATATTCCTGTAATAATACCATCTCTCTCTCCCACACATATTCGACTCCCTTAATGCACTCGTTTCACTGCTTATACGGATGAGAGGATTATCTGGCCTTTTTATCCGACTTCTTGTTCGTATATGTCCATGATTAATATAGCTATAAGAGTATTAATCTGGCTTCGATGGTTTTTATTTTCAGTGTGTTTGGAACTCGCTCATCATGACATGTCTCACTTAGAAAAGACCTTATACCACCACTCAGTTAACATTGCTATTTTTGACCTATAACAATGTAATGATATGGGTGTGGTGTTATGTGCTAAGAATGTGTAACGTTGCTCGCGCTTCTGACCAGCTCAGCACTGTAAATGAGATTTTAGTCGTCAATGTTTTCATCTTCGTTTAAATTAAAGGCTTAAAAGTAAAAATGTACTGACATTCTTACATACACAACAATATTCAGTTTTTTGCTTTTTATTTTAAAAAAAGACAANAAATATCACTTGTTTTGCATCAATCTTTATACAGGGTACTTATTATATGTTGTACTTTGGATTCCTAAAGCTCTTAGTCTACTAACCCATCATCCAAGGTTAGTTTTCACTATAAGTACAAAATATTTTTTGGACGGACACTATAATTTACAGTTTTTTACCATGTTCAATCTGAATTTTCTTTAAAATAAAAAACATCTATATTGATTCTGACTTTTCTACATCCAACTCACAGGTTTATCATTACTTTGAGAAAAAAGATGATTAATTTAACCCTTCTAGAAGGGAAGATATGGTCATTTGTTCTGGGAATGTCATTTTCGAGCCTGAAACCTGAAAAACAGGCTTGGGGCTTAAGAGGTTTTAACAAGAAGGTTTATTGATTAAATACTGTGAAATGGTTGTATTACATTGACTAGTATCATAAATACTCTATTGCCAAAAAGGATTCTGGTCTTTTCTGAACGTTTTTAAAACATAGCATCACAGGACATGTGCATTAGTGAAGGCCAGTGGATCCCTAACTAGAGGAACAACTCTGATCAAAGAGAACTGGTAGCAGATTCAAAGGTCTGGGTTTCACTGAGGCCTCGGGGCCACAGAGGGGCTCCGGGTCAGAGTCATGAGAGGCATGTGTCCCGAAGGCTTTGTTGTGGCAGTGAACTGGGCTGTTTTGGGGACGAGGAGCGGCTTCAGCTCCGATGCAATGGTGGTGGTTGTGGTGGGGGAACTGTTGGAGGGGTCACAGTTAGTAGGAGAGCAGAGATGGGAGAATAGGAAGTAGACAGCTGCAGGGGTGAATAGGAGGTCCCTTTGTGTCCTGCCAACAGAAATCTGTGACCAATTATCTGTGTCTGTCTCTAAAGAGGGAATTCTTGTACACTTTGGGTGGGTGTATAGAGAGGATGCATGGGGAGCAGTTGTGGGAGAGAGAGAGAGGTGGTGGTGGTGGTGGTGGTGTGGTTGGAGATTGCTGATTTGTTGGTTTCCGATCTTTTCTTCTTTTCTTTAGTCGGATTTTTCTGAAGGATTGGAGGGAACATAAAGCTTTATCTATTGGTTATTTAGGTAGCTAAAGGAACAAAAGTACCTTAAAGTTATACAAATGTCCCGCATTGAACTCATTGCATGCAGCATACCCAGTAAGAATACTATTTGTGTCTATTTAAAGAACAGGAAAATAACAATTTGTCCAACAATTGCTGAATTACTCCTGCCTGCGCCTCCGCCCCACCCCACTGAGAGAGCTTCCTATTTGTGTGGTTAGATTTCCAGCTATGTGAAAAGTGTGTCCTACAGAGAGAATGGGAAAGTGGTCGAGAGAAGGGAAGTTGGGCCCATGGATGGCTTGTAACCCATGTGTTAGGCATTAAAGGGCTAATTACAGTTTTAAAAGCCCCGTGTTTACCGCTGAGAAAAGCCTTGTTAGGTATATTTTACTGTCCCCCGAAATTATTCATCCTTGACAAGCTCAATTGACATTATTATAATTACAAATGTGATTGCTGCTTAATCGCCGACTCGCCGTTTAAAGTGTCTGCAGCGGAAGTCAATTGCTCCTCTCTGACCATTCATCAGAAAACAGGATGCAGGATACAAGATAGTTGTCTTCCTGTAATGGCACGCTTGAAAGGAAAACTAACAGAGTAGTTAACACAGGTACTTATGTTGATGCCATTCATCATTTTTCGTGACAAGAGAGAAGAATCAACATGAGTCGTAACTCAATGGTTTTCTTCTTGTTGCCGTTGGAGTTAAATGTGAAATAGTGCTGCAGTGTGTTTGCAGGAGGAGGATAAAGGCATGCTGGGAACTCTGCCCTAGCCGGGTGTGTTATTGCACAGGTATTGAATAACT